ATAGAAGTGAATATTGAAAAATTCATTGTAAGTATACTATCAGAAAGGTTGTGAAATTTAATGGCGCTAAAATAACATTGTATTTTAGACATTTTTGACGAAATTTTAAAAACGATCATTTGATCGGTCGTGGTAGGTTTACTGTTTAATCATTCAAATCTTGAATAATGAATACGTCTTAAATGGAAATTGGACGAATTTTTAAACAGGTATTAATTGATTTGCTTGGAAGGAGCATTAGTAAGTTCAGAGAGGTTGTATGTACAAGAAGACGGTCACTCGCTGATACAATATTCTTAAATGGAAATGCACAAGAACTTATAAAATAACTTTGTAGCTCGTTTTTCGTCAACTATTTTCGCATTAGAAACTTACATGTTGGTGGCTAAGTCTAAACTGTAATCTAGAAGCACCTGTCCAGGTAAACTGAGAATGAACAAATGAAAGTTCTGACCGGCGAAGAAAACACAGTATCTAAAAAATTGATCAGGTTCGTGCAAGTGTACAACAGCCTGGGAAATAAAATTTCGATTTGTTTAACAGTCCTTAGAAACAACGTTATCGAAACATATACATATGGCTTACTTGAAAGGCTGTGATGCTAATACCTATCATGTTAAGTCCGATTTGAATCAAGTAATTTTTTCGATTTAGATTATCCAGGAACTCGAAAAACCTTGAAACAGAATGAAATGACAAATCAGTTAAACACCATAAAACTGTTTATTTTTAGTTTAACATTATTTAATCGATACGAACTTGATGGCTTTATTGTGGACTATAACGCACTGCCTAAAGTCTTGATATCCGTTACCCTTCAAAGCACCTCCATTTTTAGTCACATAATTATTTTCAGTTGCTTTTCTAATCTTATATCTGTATTTATCAGAATTACTCGTATAAACAAAATTGTGTTTATTTCTACTCAAGTAATGGATATGAAAACTGGTGAACTCGATATTGAATAGTTATGATGCTCTGTTCTAAGCATGTACTATACCTACATGCGATGCGAAAAATTTTTCACAAGCTATTTTGTTGAAGGTTAACAATGATAATACAGCAAATCTTGGATAACTGTAAAAAACACGGGACCAAAGTTTTTTGGTTATAAAAGGACGGTTAATTTTCAGGTCCCAGAAAGGCATAATCCGAGCTATGCCGTTCGGCTTTGTATCTTGCCAAATATTGAAATGGGCACCGAATCAAGGATAAGATATAAGAATAACAGAATGTGAAACATATTAGTATGATTTATTGTTCGCGCCCGAATTGTTGTAGGTCGGATTGGAGCGAATGCGATGTCGTCGTGTTGGAGAGTTTTCAAATGGTTTATTTTTAATAATAACAAAGTGGACTGTATGAATGTTTTCAAGCGCGTTGAACTGTGGGAGGAACTGTTTCCCCCGCGCTTACTTTAACAAAATGCGTTCAACTCAAGTAAAACTGCTGTACTGTTACAGACTTGTTAGTTAGACTTGTGAGACTTAGTCGGTTAACGACTGAACCGAGAATTGAAACTGGTTTGTCGGTTGACGACTGAAACTAGAATGCAAAATGTGTCCGGAGTCCGTTTCCTCCTCAGCTTAGATCCCCTCCAAGAGGTACACTTGGGGGTGTTTTGCAAATTCCTCTGTGGAATCGTGAGTCGATTGATTGGCCATCGACTTGGGAGAGGAGGACCCATTTTCCTGCCCCAGTTTGGCAGCAAGCTCCTCCTTCACCTCGGTGGTGGAGGAAAGTCCCAGGCCACGCTGGCGAGGGTGGCCGAGGTTTCCTCCCCAAGTCGACGGTCGCGTTAATTTATCGAGGAAGAAACGGAACTCCGGATTATCCACGCAACAAGGGGTTGCGTCTGGTCTACGTCTGTTTTTATGGCTATATTGTTCCGCGTGTCGGCGATGGCCGTTGTCGTCGGTGCTTACATTTGGCCTCGACGACCGTACCACCCGCGGAACAATATAGCCCTTCGCTGGTCAACTCGAGTGTCGCGTTTCTTTCGTTTTCCAAAATGCTATTCTTGTACATTGACATTTGCCAGATGCGAGAGACTCGAAGACGTTTGCAACGTAGTACCGATCCCGCATCTGGCAACATAAAGGACCGGAAACAACTCGAGTTGGCCAGCGGAATGAGCGAGCTTTCGTTTACCGAACATTTATAATTATATCACCGCATGGCACCTTATGAAACACTCTTTTACTTACAGTCCAGACTATATTTTTTGATTGTTTGTATGGAATAATATAATATAAATATAAATACAAATTGATTTTGTCTTGTATTTAGCTACACGATATTACAAATATTGATGAAATAATTATCAGATGTTTACATAGAATGACGATATTACAATATTTACAAGAGGATAAATATAATAGTAGTCTAAAACTTGTATTGTTCACTTATTGTTATTATTCGCTTATCGTAATCTAAAACTTGTACTGTTGACCAATCGAAAATGACTCGCAGTTATCCAAGCATTACTGTAGGTTTTATTTATTATTTGGAGATCATCTAGTGCAGCTAAAACGTTTAGACTATCTTAAATAACTCGTAGAAAACAATTATTCTATTTCACGAAGAAAATAATTTTTGGATAGAAAATGATTTTAAGGTGTATGTTTCAGATATAACGAATAATTATTCGAAGAATGTTGCATCTTAATCTTTCTTTTCTATTTATGGTTTGACATCAATCGTGATAGTTGTATTTAAATTAAAAATATTTTTTTCAAAGGTTTATTTAGATCAAAATTTGTGGATCTTCGAAAAAGTATTAAACCAATTAATGTTTAACTATTTCCTAATCCTTAATTTCGACTGTTTTATTTTCTTCTTCGGGTACTTTTGGGACTCTTGTTTAAATTTATTACAAGAGTAATGTTGTTCTGAAAATACGTTAAAAAATTTGATATATCGACTATCACAATTCGTCCAATTCTTACAAAATGCAGAAATAACTAGCAATGAGTGCTGGGTCACCTAAGAAATTAAAATATGGTTGCTACTATTGGGAGACGAAGTGATGGCACACTACCCACAAACTAAAAGACGCAAGGGTCAAGGGGAATCCCCTCCACTTGTTAGGTTCATGTTTATTACAGTGGCACCTCGCTAATGTTTGTTACTTTTTCCCTCGATATGGTCCACAGAGTCATCTCCGTCAATTCTTAGAACTATTTCGGCGATACGTTCGGTAATGACACACTGAATGACCAAAAGAACAAAAATAATATTTTGTAATTTAATACTTTTGAATTATTTTAATGGCGACGTTGAGCTTTCTCCAATGGAACTAATACCAAACAAGACCATATTTACACTTCTAAGAATTAGAAAAAGAATATAAAATATATTATATACTTTTTATGATAGTAATGTAATTAATTGTATGTTGAGAAATATCAATAAAAGAAAAAAAAAGTAATACCATAATGCAAATATTAAAAGATGATTATAAATAAAAGACACGTAGCATTATTTTTGTTAATAACAAATTAAAACCTTTGAAAGGAAATCTTAAGAATAGGGAATGTAGGAAAAGAAATAAAAAAATTCATAAAATAGTATAAACAGCTGTCAGAAAAATCACAGTAGATTTCATAGGTGGAGGGCGTGTAAATGATAATCCTTTTTGCACTGTATGGAAAATATATGCATATGTACTTTAATAATACATTGAGTATCACGCACTGCACGCATCTTCATGACGTCAACGACAATAATGATCGAACAAGCAAAAATCGCGCAACACATTCCTACAAACATAAAGCGAGTATACCATTATCGATCTCACCTATCCAACAACAGTAGAATAGAGTAGGATCTCATGGGCCTGTTCATTAAACGTTCACATATACGACTAACCTACCTCGAAAATGTTGAAAGCAAAGTTTAAAAATGAGAGAAGAAATATACAGAGTGTTCGGCCACCTCTGTGAAACATTTTAATGGTAGATTCTAGAGGCCAAAATAAGACGAAAATCAAGAATTCTAATTTGTTGAGTGAGGCTTCATTAGAATGTTATTAACGTCTAAAGTTCCGCCTGCAGAACGGCAATCTGCGAACAGCTGCGTGCAAGCGACAGGTTGGGGCAGGACAGTCCTAATGGATCTCATTCACAAATCTGTAAGGCTCTCGACACGTCAGTAAGCAGAGGGGTTCTCATGCTGAATGAGAACCACTGTCGCATGTACGCAACTGTTCGCAGATTGCCGTTCTATGGGATGAAATTTAAACGTTAATAACTTCATGACGAAGCCTCAATCAACAAATTGGTATTTTTAATTTTCGTCTTATTTTGGCATCCAGAATCTCCCATTAAAATTTTTCCCAGAGGTGGCCGAGGACCCTCTACAATGATGTTGAACGCACTAAAACGATTCGAAAGAATTAAAAATGAATGTGTTAAAAGACGTAATGTTTTTAACAGATCAGCCTTCCTACGTCAAACTTGAGTTACAATGCGAGTATCATATAATTTGAAAAAAAAAACTACGCACTTTGACTTTTGAATGATTTTAGAACCTGTAGTATAAATAAACGTTGAATAATTTTCTCTACAGCACTCGCTCAATTCTGGAAATAAACCGTTCCTGGATAATGTTCGTGTCGCGGAACCAAGTCAGCGAATATTAGAAAGCAATTACTGTATTGAGTAAGTCGATCACGAACCAAGGTCAAGCCACGAACCTAAGCAGTGAAGGGTATTAGGTGGAGCCTACGGATGATTTCTTTTGCTACTTGCGTCGTTTAGCTTGTGGTGAGTATGCCAACATCTCGTCTCTCAACAGTATAGTGTACGACGTTTCAAATATCACAGTCATATTTACCCGCATACTGCGAATAATCCAGAAGCGTGATGAATTATTACCATGTATAAAGAATCTGCGGAGACTATTGTTAGTATAACACTAATCGCACAGATAGTCCCGTGAATATATATGCTATAAAAGTACTCGTCGCTATCTACGAAGTAATAAACTTTTAGTAGTTGTGCTCGCCGTCGGGACTCATTTAGCGGTAGAGCAATGTCCAATAACGGATTAAGCATTGGAAGCGATACAAACAGTACCAAATATGATAATAAGACGTCTGAAAAGTATACATATAACTCTTGTCATTATAGGTACACGAAATACTGAATGTTCATAAAAATAAGGGATTTTCTTCGAGATCAATAATTCGCTTCAATACAAATCGAAACATTTTTTAACATTTTGCAATCTGAAGTTTGAATGTGGAGATGTAACCAGTTCAAGTTTGTGGGCTGTGCTGTTTAAATTTCTACCGCATATAATCTGACCAAAATTGGGCAAATATTACGTTGCAAATTAAATTTCATCGCTACGACGCATAACTCTCTGCTATTATAATATGCGTATGATGTTTAGGAAATGGAGCTTTTACGACTAAAACTTCGGCAGTTGTTAAGCTAGCATTTTTTAAAAACTATAAAAGGCAGCCACGAATGTAAGGTACTAATTTAAGGTACTTTAAGGTAAGGTAATTTAAGGTACTAATATGAATTTAACACTAAATATACTGCCTATAAACTTTAATGCAATTTACCTCCATAACGCAGCTTTAGCGAAACTCTCAGTAGTAATATGGTACAGGACTTCTGATTGATAATTTTGCGAGGAATTAATTCCGAACAAGTCGAAAATTTGTATAAGAACTCCAATGGAACATCTGTTGAAAATTACGTAAAAGCACTTACTTCTGTATAGTTGGGCAATTTTGCTCCCTCTCTCGGTGAGAACATCTAGATAATGCAGTTCATCGGCGAGCTTTAATTCCTCCCATTCTTCTTTCACGGAGACAAATAATTCTTTAAACTATAATATTCCGTATTTCTATGATTCTGTGCACATAATAAGCTCCATTTTCTGTAGAAAGAGTACATACATTTTGTCTGTTGAGATGGAGATTTAATAATTTTACAATAGCGAGGGCAGCCGTAATTAAATGTGGTTGGCTCTCGATAACCCCGTCCCAATCCTTCTTGGATAACGACAACTGCATTTGAAAAACCTATTGAAATTTACGTTGCGATTGTGAAACAATATTGTCTGATTAATTACGTTGGTACTTTGGATTCGTTATTTTTCAATTTGTATGCCCAATATTGTTAATATTGGACATGATTCATTTATTAATCGGCTATTTCCACTTACCGAAGGTAGTAGTATGCTAACGTTAATACATATTACCAGAGTAGCATTAATATTACTATGTAGATCAGTTTGCGATGGAGACTGTCCCAAAAATATAAAATACTTCTTAAGCGTTTTATAATAAGAAATGTTGAATATACTGGCCCCGCATCTTTCGTCTTTCTGAAGAACTGAATGGTCTGAGCTTAATTATGAAACGTGTTGCATTAAATACATTGTTAATTAAAATCAACTTATAATAAATTAGATAAATCGTTACTAAAAATGTTTACTTGTAAGTATTAACTGCAGTACATATGCTGTGCAATTTTTGGTAAATATTTACTTCGGTGGCATTGTCCTGAATGAGTTTGTTTTTGAAGTTTTTTTTCAAAAACGACTATATTTCAGCATGAAAAATAAACAGATTTAGAGCATAGCCACTGAAATAAATATTTACACAACTTTGTATTACTATTAAAATTCTTGAATAATAGAAAAAAATTATTTTTAATTAAAGATTGCAGTTGAAAATATTTAATTTTGAAATTGTTTGAAATTATTTAATTAAAAATTAAATTTTTTTCTATTGTAAATTGATCTAAAATGAGTTTTTTTTCAACACATAGGAATTGAGATGGATTGTTGTATTTTAAAGCAAATTTGTGGCATTTAAAATTACTAAAAATTATACTACGCAACAGACGACAATTCCAAATTTGAAAATCTATCTTTGACGTCCGCTTTTGCAAGCAATTCATAGTTCATCCTTTCTTCATTTTTCGTGAGTATTCACCAAAAACCTCAAACGTATATCCAACACACGGTTAATTTTCACGAACCTCCTTTGTCATCTCACGCGATTATACGATTCACCAAAAAATTGGCATCTGAGTGGCTGATATATTACGAGCAGGTTGAACAATACGCAACAGAACTTTCCCAAGGACCTATTTAGTAATAAGTTTCGCGTGATCGCATTGTTTAGTCGCATTCGACACATCTAACAGACTCAACTAACTGGTTTTGGACAAGTAATATTTAATATTGTTGAAATATCATTCTTGGCAATCGACTGTATAAGCTGATTGCACTTACAGGATTAAATATGTAAAACACATTATTAGATTTGGATTTTAACGTTGCGTAACATAAAACGATATAATTTAATCAAAATAATTAATATAAGACTTATCTCACCGATGGAAGACATTCTTCCAATATTAATCACTTTTATATTTTTGCCTATCGTTCCACGTATCACTGCTGCACGGAACAATGTTCCACAAAATAACGAATAGTTTATGTATTGTTGCAAAATGATGAGCTTTTAAATAACAAGTTTCAAAGAGCTACCCCGTTCTGTATCCTTGTGAAGACTATTTGGTTCGCTGCGGAGGCGCGTTTCTTTACGAACAATGACCCATTAGAAAACGAATTCAAATATTTATCCAGGAAAAAATTTTCTATATAATTGGCAAACTCTTACAATCAATTCGATATGGTAACAACCGTATTTATAAATTTTAAAGATGTTTCGTAGAATTTCGATTGTCAGAGGGAGAGACTGGTGTTGCTCTAACCGGTCATTTTCTTATCTACCTCCTATTTTTTGTAATGCAAGAATAATTTCATAATGCGTACCTGTCTGTTGGTAGATTGACGCACAATTACAGTTAATGTTCGAAGTAAGTGACAGAAGGGTGGAGAGAGTTTTACCTCAACAGTCAAATGTTAAATGTCATATATAAGTAAAATCTGACATTACTTTAAAATGCGCAGAATATAGTTTCAATCGCCGCCAACTCAATTGGCCAGTTAGTGGCAGTTAGGTGTACTTACCTCCGATACGCTCTGTTTGATTCTCGATTTTAATGCTATTACTTCTAAACATTGCACGTGGCTGGCTGTTGTTTTTTATTCGTCGATACATTTTTTCAAATTAATTTACGGCAAAGTGTAAACAAAAGTGAATTAGGTGAGTCGTAAACAAGTGTCACCCGATATTACTTATTTTATTAAGTTTAGAAAAACAGTGAAGTGTTCCTTCGTCAGATTTCGCCATCTAGCATTTAAGTACTCTAAAAAGACACACTTTCTTTAAAATATCCTACTTGCCACGTTATACTATTTAATAACTTAATAATATAATAGTATATGATGAATGTGTATCATCAGATGCATTAAATTCTTACTAAATTAAAATAAATAATTACAATAAATTTGTTTTAATATGTAGTCCTTTTCTTCGACTACCGTTCATTTTTCCTCGCTCGTTTTCACTCTCGGTCCTTTTCTTGGGTGGTCGACTGCAGTTGTTGACCGAGACACAGTGGCATCACTGTGTATAAACATCTGCTGGTGTCGAATTTCGCTTCCACCTACCTTTGAAAGGAACATGCTTGCCGCAGAGCGATTTTTATTTCAAGAATCATTACTTGGTCTTCTTATAATAATTCTTTCATAATAGTTTTAGCGTCAAGGAAAGATTACATGTTTTTGTATTCGAGAAAAAGGAAATTATTGTAGATGGTTAGGAACATTAATAAATCAAACATTATTACACATTGTTTGAGATATTAGTCAAGTAGATAGCTGCAGTGGAAAATGGATTGGTGGTTGAAATGACGAATAAATTGTTGAATAAAATTGCAAATTAGAAAAAATATAAAAATATATTGTGTTACATATCATTCATGTATGGGACCGAAACGTTTTGTAGCTTGGTCGTTGGCCCGATGATCTAGCGCACAACCCCCCTGGGCAGGGTTGACTCATGCCATATGTGAGCACCCGGCCCAATTTTCATTACCTTATATGGTAATGCCCCGTCACTGTAAAGGCTCAATTTCTAATATAAGGGCCGCGTTTTCTTACTCGAGGAGCTCAGTTTTTCTAAAACACAACGTTACTTTGACACTCGAGGTAAGATCAGACTATAATCCACATCAAGCAACGTACCTGTCTTAGCGGTTTTATTAGTGAGTGTTCATTAGATTAATCGAGAAGTAGCTTCCGCGAACGCGCCGCGTAAAAGCCGACATAGAACTTTCACCGTCGAGGCAACCTAGCAATAGTACTAGTTCTGTTAATTGACCATTGTACTTGAGCATCAACTAGAATATATTTAAGTAGTCATCCTTACTTGCATTACTCATTTAATACAACCCTGAACCCTATTAACAGTAAGACTAGGGGTATCTCACGAACCCGGTACACCTTTACCGCTCGAGGTGCACCATTACGACAGAGCAAGATCCTAAAACATCTTAAAAACCTACGTGGCTCCTAGGGTATAAAGCCCCTGGTTCGTCTATTCCTAGCGGTTCCCAGGGTATAGAGCTCCTGGTTCGTACGTGAAACCATACATTTTCCTTATAAATCTAACCCCGTGGCTCCCAGGGTATAGAGCCCCTGGTTCGTACGTGAAACCATGTAACAATTGTAAAAAAAAATAAGTAAACAAAATATTATAATACAAACAATTAACACTTGAATGCAATAATAATTAATTTAATGATTGGCTCAATGTAAATAGTAATTTGTATAACGTTGAATTGATCAAATTGAATTTAGCAAATGATTGAATAATGAATGACCTTGAGTGGTACAATAATGTGGTTTTGATGATCGATGCTATGTGTATATGATTTTATCACATTAAATGATATATTCAATTAATTATAATGATAAACACGATAATGAGCGATCACAGTTGTATGAATGATCAGTATAAAATTAAATGACGAATTGATTGCAATTGAATTTGATGAATGGAACGGTTACCACAATGGCTGACGCCACGTGGTCGATGAATAATCTAGCAAAGTTTTATAATGATATGAATGATCGGTTCAATTTTGATTTAGCACAATAAATTTATACAAGAGCAATAATGATTTTGATCAAATTAAACTGAGTTAAACACTTATTATATATGATAACATTAAATGATTCGAACGAAAAATGAATATTTGATTCGATGCGAACACTACGAACACGTGCGCTTGATGTCAAGGTCATATCGAGACTGACGCAATGTTGAGCGTGGTTGCTGATGATAGTTGACGAAAGTCACGTAGCACTTGTGATGCGGTGTTGACAAAATATGATTGGCCGCGCATGGCGTAGGTAAGCATAGTAAAAAAAAATTCGTTTTTTAAATAGTTAATGTATGATATGTGCTTATAACACAGATGAGGTATAGAAGTAGACCTGCCTTACATCTTATGAACTTTCGTGGCCCAAACTGACTGCCATATTGACATAAAAATTGAAAGGTGATTCTAGCGTCTTCTTCTCATGGATGGATAGTTAAGAAACTATTCATAGAATTAGTGTTGTTAAAATAGGTGTGAGTTGTGTAAAGGTTTATACAAAAACCTTGTCTCTCATCCTTTAACGTGGAGTACGGATTACGAGGGATTGAAATATGGGGGAAAGTGAATTGTACACTTATAGATTTCTTTCGCCTAGTCAATTTGGACTAGGCCGTTTATTTAAAACGAAATTCAAGAGAAAAAAAAAACGAAAATTAAATAAACAAAATAAAGAAATTTAATTAATAATGAAAATTATATTATTTGGTATTAAAAGTATTGCCAGGAAAAAACTGAGCCTGTTGTCGGGCTCGTAAAGAAACCTGGCTGCGGCCTGTCTGGCCTACGGCTCTCGCCACGGTCTACAGTAACAAAAAAGACCGAAATCCGGCTGTGAATACTTGACAACGCTCGTCGCGTTGTTGGACTCGCTTCAATCCACACGCTCCTTGCTCCGTTTGTTGTAAACAGGAGCGGGAATTTCTACCACAGCGAAACGCAGCAGGGTTAGTGAACTGTAACTTTTCGTTTCTTATTTTTGGAAACGTTTGATTGTAGATGGGGAAGACGACATTCCAATCTCGATTTTTCCACTGCTGTAGGTTTGAATTTTGCAGGGGAGGACAACAGATGGAGGTTGTAAGGCTCCAAAGGTTGTCTACTCCGCGGTTCCTCGCTGTTCCCTGGCCCGTACGGGACCGGTGTGATGCAATCCCTTAACTGAGCAAGAAGCGACTGACTGGTAAGGTGCTTACACCACGGTGCCTTTTGAGCGTCACTCTACGCCGAGTATCCGTACACACTAGGGTGGTCCTTAGCTACTCTTGGTGAACATTTTTTTTACGGCACCCCCTAAAATTGTTCCATTGGATAAGAAAATAATTCCCGTAAAAGATGAAGTTGATCGGATAAGAGGAAGACGTGACACAATGTGGCACATCCGCGTTAAAGTTCCAATAAATGTGAGATTTCGTATGAACGGAAAGGTATGAAGAAAAATATTAGAATGATGGTTAAACGTTCTTTTTGTGGATCCTC